CGCTCCCTTTTTACAAGTACTTTACAAATTAACATGATTGTTAACTGGCTTTACCTAAAGCACTCAAAATTCTCATAGGAAGTGTAGGGTATCTGATACTTTATTTTATTGATAAAGAAACAGGTTCAGATTGGTTGGGATTTAGGTCATAAACACTCCAAATGAGTAAACTAGGCTCTAATTCCATATATACTTAGTCCAGTGTTTTATTTTCTAAAGAAGTTCATTTAGCATTTAACTGATAAGCCCCAGTAATACAGGGGAATAGCAAATCTATTGTCTGAATGCTTGTATCCCCCGCAAAATTTACATGTTGAAATCTTAATGCCAATTTGATGGTCTTGGGATGTGGGGCTTTTTGGAGGTAAGTAAGTCATGAGAATGGAGCCCTCATAAATGGGATTAATGCTCTTATAAAAGAGACCTTAGAGAGCTCTCTAGTCCCTTTCACCATGTAAGGACACAGCTAGAAGACATCAGCTATGATCTGGAAAGAGGGCCTTCGCCAGAACGTGGCTACGCTGTCACCTTAATCTTCGACTTTCAGCCTCCAGAACTGTGAGAAATAAGTTTCTGTTGTTTATAAGCTACTTAGCATGTGATATTTTGTTATAGTAGCCCAAACAGACTAAGACAGCAAATATTACAAAGTAGTGGGTAACAAAAAATGTTTTAGCAGACATACCTTACAAGTCATGTTTTGCTTATTCTAATTTTTAAACAGAATGATCCCGAATGAACTAACTCACACAGTCAGGAAGGCTGAGCAAATACAACATTAAGTAGGAGGGTGAAAATAACCTGGAATTGAAATTTTTCTGCAGAAATTTTTGAAAATAGATAAATTATCCTAACTAGATTTTTAAAGACTCTTTAAAACTCAATTTAAGTAAATGTGGACTTTCAATTATTTACCAAATTTCCTTTCTAATTGATGGACTTCTTTATAATTGATGGATTTTCCACTTTCTCCATACTCCACACCTCATTTCTCTCCTTATTGCAGAATGTAATTTCCAGTATTTACACTTTGTTTTCTGATTCCTTTCTATTTAAAAACCTTGAGGTGACTCATCATGAGTAATATGAAGTTATCAGAGCTGGAAGCTCTGGTTATGATATCCAAGTGTTTGTGATGATCAGTCGTCATTTTATTATGTCTTCATAATTCAGTAAGCAGCCTGGACATTATGCTTGCTCTTCTTAGTGCTAAAATCAATACTAACCTCTTTACTATTAATTCTATAGCATAAGGGCATTTCCGAGATTCACCCCCAGTCCCAACTCTGTCCATTCTGAAGTGATATATATATACAATAAAATCTGACCTCATGTTGTCTCTCCCCAGGAATGAGACACATACAACCATTTGGAATTTCCTGGCTTTGACCTGACGAGTTTCCTCAGACTTCAGGATGGTTGCTGTAGTTACACCCACCATCATGTTCTCCTCGTCTCACTTCTACAATGTAAGTAACCCGATATTTTGGCTTTTAAACAGTCTGTTCTTTGTCTCCCCACCCCACCTCCCTTCACTGTTTTACTTATTTAGTTATTTGCATCAGATCGTAACATGTATCTATATTTTACTATCATTTGATAACACTCGAGGGGGAAAAAAAACTGGGAGAAAAAATGACTCATGTTTTTCCAAACTCTTAGCCAAATTACTTTGTAGTCATCCTAACAAATGGTAGTTTAGCTATACCATAACACTGATATATTTCCCAAGCTACAAGTGTAAGCCTACAGTCTTCTGCTTTCTTCTTTAATGTTTTGACAAATCTGATTTTAGGTAAGAACATGGTCACTTGATCACATAACACACAAGCAAAAAACTCTGCTTCGGGCATGGGGAAGGAGACAACAGTATTTTATTAGCCAAGAATTCCAGTAGCTCTCTTAAGCTTTTGAGATATGAAGTGGGTTGTTGCCTAATTCTTTTGAAATAAAAATGGGTTCTGTGGTCTTATCTTTTTGTGTGTGTTTAATAGAAACTCTAAAATAGACATACAATATTATCTATTTAAACTATAGTATACTGAAAATCATTATCTGCCTTAATTATAAAAATGTTTGTTTTTTTAAAAAAATTATCATCCTCTTGAGAGACCAGCCACCATATACAATATGACATCTCTCAGCTTTAATAAAATGTTCATTTGCGCTGACATTTCGAATTCTTCTTATCCTGGTTCATAGTTCCTAACCTACAGAAAATTTAACACTCCCGCCTCTTGGAGAGGGGGAGGGACAACAGGCAGCTAGAAGTCCATGGAGCTGTGAGCCAAGTAGTCCTTGCGGCCGATATAGTGTGGTGACTTTGGGGCTACATAAGATTTACTAACATGTCATTCCATCAATATAAATTGTCTTAATGATTTTTTTTTTTTTAAAGATGATGTATGTTTTAATATGCTTGGGTTAGTTGTGTTATCTGACTCAGAAAGCAATTAGCCCACATAAAAACAAACAAACAAACAAAAGCCTTCAAAAATGACCAAGATAATAAAGGATATGTGTTTGCCTTTCTGTAATCGAGTGGCTCATTAATATCAGGAGGCCTTGCCAAATACATTTCCAATGTGGTGTATAACTCAACTACATTTATTAGTCACCGCATAGAAGTTTATACAGAAGTAGCTTTGGGCAATGCTAGTGTCCCATGGAAACCCAGCGCATCGAAGCCATCACATATCAGTAATGGTGCTTATCAGCCTTCTGTTGGAGAGTGAGTGTCACCTATACCAGCAAAGAATTAAAGAACAACTAATATAATTTATTCACTTTTACATTTTTAAATCTGTAGACTTTGGTTTCTATTTATCTGCTATTCTTTAGTTCTCTGGAGGCTGAATTATAAATAACCGTTGTATTTCTCAGAAGCAAAGATTTTTTCTACCTTCCTTATTTTTAAATTAAGACTTATTTTCACCATTTGAGATCATATAAACTGCAAATGCAGTAGTCTGGGAAGAGAAAAGAGCTTCAGCTTCTAAATTTATTTTGGTCTATGAGATCTGAATTCATCCCATTTGTCCAACTATTATGGCAGAGCTCTATAATAAAACTAATTTAGGGAAACAAGGACAGCTACATCATTGGCCATCTGAATGACAGTAAAAGTGAATGATTTATCCCATCCCATTTATCACAATGTACAAAGCAGGCCTGATTTATATGTAGTAACATCTAATTTATGACACGGCAAGGCCTTTTGATATTTTACTATAAGTAAGCCTTCATATGGGTCTAAGCACGAAAATATCCTTGGTCATTTTACTGAGTAATATTAAACAAAGTATTTAGAAGATCTAGTTATGAAAGAATGTATATACTTTAAAACTTAAATTTAAAACTAATTCTGTCATAGTAATAAATTGTTATTATTTGAAAATAGAAAGTTTTTATTTATTTCTTTTAAGAACCCTAAAGAAATTACTTGGTAAATAGTACTAGAAGAACAAGAAAACAAGTATAAAACAACATAGTCATATTTTCATTCTAGAAATCTGGCCTAGTGAACATTATTTATTCTAGGATTCTTGGCAAAGTCACTTTGTGTCCTGGGAGAAATTTAAGCAAATGTGTACAGAATTAGCCTATAACATGAGAATTTAAGAGGATAGAGTGTATAGATTTAGTTTACAAAATTAAATTTGAATCCACTTGGAAAATTTGAGAACATAAGCTCTGTCCCTTTCCTGTCTGCACTCTTTTTTCTCCATGATTGGTTCCTGATACAGTATTTACTAGTGATATCATCTAAAACTTAAGAGATTATAATACCTACTGCATGCAGCCATGTTGCTAAGTACTGTAGTTTATTCATTTATTCAGTACTTCCAATGTGCCAGACTGGGTGGTTAGGACATAATATTGAATAAGACACGGTCCCTGTATTCAAGAAAATTATCTTACAGTGAGAAAGCAAAGGAATAATTAGGAATAAAACATTAGTTATTATTGTAAATATAAAAGTAAAGTGCTATGGAAACAAATGGAAGGAGAACCTAATTTTCTCTTGGAGTGAGGAAATATATCCTGGTAGAAGTGACATCTAAGCTGAGTCCAAAGGGATAAATAAAAGTAAATTTGATGAAGACAGAAAGGTGAGAGAGGAAGATATGTTCTGAACAGAGTTAAGACACCTAAAAGTCCTGGAGGGGAGGAGGGTGGAGAGAGAAAGACAGGTAGACACGGGGGAGAAGACAAAGGCAAGTAAGAGAAAGAAGAAAACAGAAAGAGAAATAAATACGAATTGGTACTTTTAGGGGATTGCATGTTCTATACGGCTGGAGCATAGGATGAGAACAGAGATGGAGCAAGAGATCAAACTGGACTGATGAGTAGCATCAGGTATTAGAGTTTTGTTTTTCTAACTCAAGGGATTTGAATTCATACCAAGGGAAACAAGGCCTAATGAAAGTTCTGACATGATAAGCTTTGCAAAATTACTTGGGCTTCATTCAATGTGAGGTTAGTTTGGAGGGATGATAATGTGGAAGTAGAAGCCGCTGCAGTAAATCCTGGAAAAAGGTAACAGTAACTTGTGTTATGAGAGTATTCTAGAAATGGGGAGATGTGGTTAGATCCCAATGATAATTAAAAGGTAGAATATGCTAGGCTGTTGATTGATTGTAGGTAGGTAGTGAGGAAGAGGGCTAAATTAAGGATGATACCCTAGTTTCTGAGTTGGAAAAGTAGATGCTTAATGGTGCCATTTGCTGACATCAAAATCACAGGGAGAGAAACAGATTTGAGGGGTAGAGAGAAGAGGAACACACTGAGCATATCGAGTGTGAAATATCAGTATAGCATCCAAGTGGAGATAGCTGGTAGGAAACTGGAGATACTGGTTGAACACCAGGAGAGAGATCTGAGCTTAAGTTTTTATAACTTCTGCTTGGATGTCATATACACGTCCACTTGGTATTTCACACACACACACATACACACACACACATACAGAGATGAGTGTATTCGAACACAGGTTTAAAGTGTGAAGTATAAAGAGTTCTATCAAGGAAGGCACAAAACAGTAGAAGGAATAAGATGTGTATATAATAATGACTATAAAGAAAAGCTGTCACCGAGGGTCAAAACAAAGGTACAAATAACATTATGAGAGAATGTTTAGGGGCCAAGAATAGCCTCATAGTAAAGGTGGTATTTACAATAGATTTTGAAAATTTTGTTGGAAAGTTTCCAGAAAGGCAACTAAAAGTTTAGGTATAAATTGTTACAGAGGAATTTTAAGGGAAATGTACCTTAATTTTCAGTTCCTCTGAATTTGAATGAGCTTAAAAAAGAGAAACAAAGAGCAGAAGCAGAGAGTCGGGACCTACACAAACGTAGAGCACTGCTTGGCCCATGTGAGTCCCTACAATTCCTCAGCTGGCGTTGGGGGTTGAGTCTCGTCATGTGTATCTCTTCTGTAATGAATGTTTAAGCAGTTTCTTGTTTCTTTTTATGATCTATACAGTAAACCAATATTTAAAATTACCCTTTAAAAATTTGTGGTATATGTAAATGTAAAAAAGTAGGTGTCTGTTTATACTATTTATTCGAATATGCTATATATTATCATCTTATTTCTGAGCTAGCGTTATTGGCGATCATCTCAATTTACAGAGATAGAAACTGAGGCCTGCATCATGAGGCTTTGGTGAATTTATTTATAAAAGACTTTTTTTTTTCACAACTAGTTATCACATGACTGGGTTTTCATCATAGTCAGATGATGTTCAAGGACACACAAGAGACAAGATGTACAGTCATAGAGCAACCCTATCCCCAGACAGCTTTTAGACAACCTCTTTTGCTTACACAGGCTTCTCTGGGGCCATTTTTTAACCACAATCTATTACTGATCTTCTGGTAATCTGCATGCCTTGTAGTAAAATCAACTAAGTTTTTCCATCTACTATCATACAGACCTTCGATTCCCCACACAGATATAAGTTAACTGGGTCCATAAATATGTGATACCCAAGTATCAAACTTTAATTATCATTTTCACAGGCTATATAAGGACATTTGTTAAATGTTATCAAAAGAATTTCAAATTATAATATTGGTCAATCTTTTAATATCTATAATTCTAAGAGAACATTTTCTATATATCTTATAATGAGAGGTTTCAAAATATTTCAAATGTGTATATATAATAAGATTAATAAAAGTTCATTATCAGTGACAACATTTTACCTGAGCTAGAAAGTTTACAATGGGAATTCTAAATAAAACTAAACCCACTTATGAGTTTGTGATTATCATTATCTATAGCAGTGCTATGCAATAGAAGTGTCATATGTGTGACAAATACTAGCAACATACGTAATTTTTTTCTAGTAGCCACATTAAAAAATTAAGCAACTGAAATTAATTTTAATATATTTTATTTAATCATGTATATCTAAAATATTATTTCAACATATAAGCATATAAAAACTTATAAATCTTTTAC